AGTGACACATGTTCAAAACCAGCTTTTGCTTGGAAAAAGATGAAACAACTTGGGAAATTTTAGTCCCACTGTCCCAGTTTGCCCCAGTTTATGAGTTTTAAATACTCATAGATCATCCCTGAGACTTGATGAGACCTGCAATAAAGACGTGCCTACTGTATCCCAGACCCACAGCTCTTTGCTCTGATTCTCCCCCTTCCATCTGTGGCCAGGTGCTCATCCCTCTTCACCGTTTCCACCACCACAGAAAATCATAAGATGGTGCCATCTCCTTCATTTTGGGTCTGCTGATGCCCTTGCCTATGCCTACTTTTTGGGCTCTGCCACATCCTAGAGCACAGAAGAACATGTGCTCTAAACACATTTTACCAGCATCACCACCCATGGCCCATGTCGAAACCAGTATTGCCCTTTCATTTCACCCTATTCCCTCCTTATGAAGCAATCCCTACTTTTATTCACCCGTGCATAGCAGGGCTTGGAACCAGCTCGTTCTGGTTCTAACCCTGCTGAGAATTTGCATCTCTGACAAGTTCCTAGGCACTGCTATTGTTGCTGGTTAGGGACCAATTCTGGGAACCACTATCTCAAAATTTATTATTATACATAAGAATAACCTGGGGATCTTGTTAAAATGTAGATTCTGACTCAGTATATCTGGGGTGGAAGTGCACATTCTCAGCAGGGGTTCGAACCGTGATGAACCAGTTCAAAGCCCTGGTGTATATGGGTACAACTTTCAGCCCCATCAACATCCGGTTCATTCAGCCACTGGTTTTCTTTTTTCAATTGACTGTTTTTTATTTTACAATACCTTTATTGAGATAAAATTCATCCTTTTAAAATGTACTGTTCAGTGGTTTTTGGTATATTCACAGAGTTGTGCAGCCATCACTGCTATGTGTTTCCAGAACACTTTCATCAACTCAAAAAGAAACCTCATACCCAGTAGTAGGCCCTCTCCAGTCTACCCCGCCCCAGCCCCTGGGAAGCACTCTGTCTTTTTGGATTTGCGTATTTTAGAGATTTCATATAAATGGAATCATACAATATGGTCTTTTGTGTCTGTCTGCTTTCACATAGCAGTGTTTTCAAGGTCCATCCATGCTATAATAACATGCATAATACCCATTTTTACCCACTGCCATCACGTTGATTCTGACTCATAGCGACCCCGTAGGACAGAGTAGAACTGCCCCATAGGGTTTCCAAGGCTGTAAATCTTTATGGAAGCAGACAGCCACAGCTTTCTTCTGAGGAGCTCCTGGCAGGTTTGAACCACCAACCTTTCGTTTTGCAGCCGAGCACTTAGCCACTTTGCCACCAGGGCTCCTTGGATGGATAATAGCTATTATTAAAAATGCCAATAGAGAGGCACGTGCAAAGTGCCGTGGGAAGAGGAAGTGACAAACTTTTCCATGTGTCAAGATTGACTTAACTCAGCCCCCGCCCCCAACACTTCTGGAGCCCAGGAAGAGGACTAGTGCAGGAGACAGGACTCTTAAAGTACAGGCCAACCTTTTTGAGAGGAAGGATCTCAGGTATGTGTGCTGTGGCCACAGCTGGCTTTCTTGCCACACTGAGTGTCAGCTCAGAAAAGAGTTATATGATTGCTGATCCCTGTCCCAGTCTGTGTCCAGGGAAACAATGACTTCCTTCATTTGTTTTTAAAAGATCTCTACAGTCACTTGAGGGAATCTTAGAGACTGAATGTAAATTATAAAATGCTTCTAAATGAATTACATAGGTGTACATTTTCTTGACTATTATATCTTTATTTCCTGGTAATAATAGTGTCCTCAAATTGACTTTATAATAAAGTATAGACCAATGATGACTTATTCTTGTGGAAGTTATGGTGCTTTTTGTAAGAAACATCATAAAATGTTAATTTAATTTCATCATATGAACTGGTAATCTTAGTGGTAGGAAATATGGCATATGGCTGTATTATATGTATTCTGGAGCCTGGGTGGTTAAGAGTTCGTCTGCCAACCAAAAGATCTGGCAGTTCAAATCCACCAGCCACTCCTTGGAAACCCTAGAGGGCAGTTCTACTATGAGTTGGGATTGACTCCAAGGCAACGGGTTTGGTTTTTTTGGTGTAAGTATTCTGGACTCCACGTTAAAATAAATAAATATATATATATACATATATATTTATTATTATATATTATCTGTATTATATCTAATTACAGAAAACTATTTTACGAAATCACCTTTCCAAGTTTTTCTGTTGTATTGGTTATTTGTTTTGTCATCTGCCAACTCGTGTTAGCAAAAAAGTGAGAACAGGTACCATAAGCTTAAGAAAAACGTGTTGGGAGGAGAAAAAAACTTTAAAATGAGCACATTCTAATAATTAACATAATCTAATTAAGGCTGCAAAACACTTCTGTCCAATTGGGTAGGCTTCAGTTGTTTCAAAGAAGGTTAATTTTAGAACTACTGATCCAGAGTTTACATTTTTAATTTAAACACAGATGGTGTTCTATCAAAAAATAAAAGTTTTACTGTCTGGTTTTAATACCATTTATTGTATCAGTTGTGGATTTTTGTCCTGTCTTCAGCTTAGTTCAGTTCATCAGGCATTTGTTGGCCGTCTCTTACATGGAGGGAACCCTGGTTGAGTTTATGATCCTTTGTTCTAAAGGAGCGTATGATCTGGAGGAGAAACATTGTCTAGTGGAGGATACACACACTGCTAGTTGCAAATTGTGATAAATGCTCTAATGGAGTTATCAAGGACTTAGGAGCGGAAGGAAAGGAAAGATTGGTTCATCCTGAGTGGGGCAGATGTGGCAAGACTTTCTTGAGGAGCTAGTACCAGAGCTGGAACTTGAAGGGCCAGTGGAGACAGAATGGGAGGAGGGAAAAGTATAAGCAAAGACCTAGAAAGTGGAAATGGAGGAAGTTGAGGAAATGGTGGTGGCCTGGTGTTCCTGGCGTATAGGATGATCATGTAGTAGATTAGATGGAACGATTATATAGTAGGGGATATAGTAGATCATACAGCTATAAAGATTGGGAAGAGCCACGTTGTGCAGTCTTGATAATACCAAACTAACAAGTCTGGACTTGATTCTGTAAGTACTAGAGAGCCGTGGAGGGTTTTTGAGCAGGATAGTGGCATGATCAGATGAGTAGAGAATGTATTAAAGGATAGGTTGAAGATGGGGAAGAAATTAGAGACCATTCTTGGGTAGTACAAATGCCATCTTTTCAGTTAAAAATCTCAAGGGGTAGCTATCTTGTGATTTGAGATATTTGATACAGAAGCTCATGTGTTTAAATTTTAATGACTAATGATGTCCCTGGCAAACTGACTTCTCCTCTTATGTATATTTTTAACAATAGCCAAGCAAGAGCTTATATAAAAGGAGGTAGCACTGATGAAGCATGAACTTTCTTTTTTTCTGGAAAGAGTAACTTCCAAGTCAGTACCCCATATTTTCTCCTAAAATGTCTCTTAGCCAAGGAGAGGAGCCACCCAGATTTGCAGTTTTGAAACAGGACCAGGAAATGTGTCTACACAGCAGGAGAAAACAAACCAAGGTGAAGCAGCACTGTTTGGTAAGACTTCAGGCCCAAGCTTAGGACTGAACCCAGTTACCTGGGTTCACAATCCAGCTCTGCCACTTTCAGGCTGTGTAACTTTAGGCAGATTACTTAGCCAAACTGTGCCTCTGTTCAGTCATCTGTAAAATGGGGATAATAATAGTACCTGCCTCTGGGGTTGTTATGAGGATGAAATGAATTAATACATGTTAAGTGCTCAGAATAGTACCTGGCACATAATAAGAGCTCAATACGTGTTAGCTATTATTATTCAGTAATAAAAATAAAACAAATATAAATATAAATAACAATAAAAATATATTTATAACAATAAAAATAAAATAACTGCCTACAGCTCCTTCTAGTTTACAAGTGCTTTCACACATACACTCAGTCATTTGATCTTCACAGTCACCTTATGAGTACTGATTGTTCTAGTTACCATTGCTGCTAACTAAGCATCCCCAAACTTAGAGACATAAAACAACCATTTTATTATGCTAACAGACTGTGAGTCAGGAATTCAGACGAGGCACAGTAGAAATGGCTTGTCTCTGCATCACAGGGTCCTACAGCTGGAGATGACTGGAATAGCTGGGGAGGGCTTGACAGGCTGGGGCTGGATCAGCTGGTTTTGGTGAATCCACAGCCAAGATGGCTGCTTTGCTAACCTGCCTGGCAGTTTGGTGGGGTGGCTGGAAGGCTGAGCTCAGCTGGGATTGTTACCTGAGTACACATGGCTGCTCCACTGTGGTGGTCTCAGGGTAGTCATCGGACTTCTTACAGTGATTCTGCAGCAGAAGCTGCATAACTTTTATGAGCCAGCCTCAGAAGCCATGTAACGAGCACTTCCCCCATTCTTTACTGGTTGAGGTAGTCACAGACCCACCCAGATTCATGGGAAAGGAATATAGACCATACCTCTCAGTGGAAGGAGTATTAAAGAGTTTTGAGGCCATGTTTTAAAATCACCACAGTGGTATTATTCCCTAATTCTAGATGAGAAAATTGAGACTCAGTCAAGGTTAAATGATTTGCTCAAGGTCAGTCGCACAGATAGTAACTGGGATAGTATGTATGTGTCTAGGGGGCAGGAGGAAGAGAATGGCTTCTAACCTAATTCTTCTGACTCCAAATTCTCCGTTTTTCAATTATATTCTTCAGCCTCCTGCAGCTAAGATATACTTGCTCATATGTGAAAGTTCAAAGAAAAAGAATTTAACTGACTTTGGATAGATCCAGTAACTTTCCTAAAAAGAGACAGACATGTAAAAGTATAAGATTTGAGTTTAAATGAGCTGGCGTACAAAAATTTATATTTTAAGGAGGTCCTGAGATGAGTTCAGTTCTGATACTGGACAGCAACCTTGTATAATTTTCTCACAAGGAAAGATCTCTGAAAGTGTCCCTGATGTGTCACTGTGATTTCATTTGCTCTCTAGGAAAGTCTCATCTGGCCATTGTCCAGCGAGTGAATAATGAGGGAGAAGGGGACCCCTTCTATGAGGTGATGGGCATCGTCACGTTGGAGGACATCATAGAGGAGATCATCAAGTCAGAAATCCTGGATGAAACTGACCTCTACAGTAAGTGCACAGCCTTTGCGATTGTCCCAGAGTTACATTGCTTTCCACCCAGACTCAGAGACACTTCATTTGATACATGGTGTGGAAGTGTCAGGGCAAGCCCCGTGCACTGCTGTGTGTCAGCCACCAAATGCCAGCTGCCAGGATGTCAAGATACCCTGACTTGAGCCACCCTGAATCCCTAGAACACGCTCACTAAATGTTGATCAGGAAGGAGCTTTCAGGAACTGAGCCAAGACTATGAAGAGGACACCTCCTGGCTGTTAGATAACAGGTCCCTTGGTGGCACAAATGGTTTGCCCTCGATTACTAACCTAAAGGTTGATGATTTGAACCTACCCACCCAGCAGCACCGTGGAAGAAAAGCCTGGTGATCTGCTTACATAAAGATTACAGCCATTGAAAACCCCATGGAGCACAGTTCTATTCTGTAACACATGGGGTCACCGTGAGTCAGAATTGGGTTTGTTGACAGCAGTGGGTTTGTTTTATTTTTGATTTGGTCATTAGAAGGAAAAGGGACTAAAGGAAACAAAGTGCTTCCCAGATGGTGACCGGAGGTGTCTCTGCCCTTGTGTCTGTCCCCTTGTGTTGTTCCTGTTTTATCTCTTTGTCCACCCAGGCACAGATCCCAGCACCACCTGGGATTCCACTGCCAATCCATTCACACCAAAACATCAGTGACCAATGGAGACTGTCAGGGAGATTGCCAACCCGACAACCTAAGTCCAAAACGTAATTGTCCCTTTAAGCACCTGCCTGCGTGGCCCCTCTGATGTCCCTGCTCCTTTCTTGCTTGTCTCCTCAGCCTCCTACCCACTCCCCCTCAGGAACATGAGGACTCCTCCTTGCAGGTAGTAACTAACGTGGACTCCTCTTTGCAGATAGTGACTGGCTTTTGGTTACTGACTGAGCCTTATCAAGGCTTTGCTTGCAGACATTACAGAGGCATGCTTTGTCTCTGGGATGAGAATGTTATCTAAATCCATGAGAGTTCCAAGGCCAGTAAGTGTTTCTCCTCAGAATCTCATCCAGTGGGACAGTGATCCTTTTTCCTCACCTCAGATAACTCATTTCAGACCCATAGTTTGCTAGAAGCAGCCTTTCAGAACCTGGCTCCTGGTAGAAAAAGCTTTGATACCTTAAGACAGTGAGTTGTGCAGAAAGAGTGTCTTCCCTTTGGACTCAGAAGTGATCAAAGCTAAAAAGGTGGGCCAAGCCTTCACAAAAAATAGTGGGGGTGCCACAGAGCCTCCCTCCAGGTACCTGGTAATACTGTGCTGCCCCTGCCAGGCTTGTCTTCTTCAAACAGGGCAGAGCCCAGAAATTTCCCCTCCCTCCCTCCATTCTCCCTTCTCCACCTCCGCTCACCACTCTTGATTTAAAATTCCCATCTCAGCTAAGTGACTCAGTAGATACATTGGTGAAGAAATTCACACTAAAGTGTCAGTGATGATAGTAATCAAAATGAGTAAACTCCTCCCGGAGCATTTGTTTTAACAGCCTTGATGCTCCAAAAACCTACTATTAAAATCAAAGCGATGAAGGAGGGACCACAGGAATGATTCTCTAATGATGAATTTTAGGTAGCATTCTGATGGGGGAGGGAGAGGGGACATTTAGGCAAACATGTCATCCAAATCAAAAGGTTGCTCCCAAGAAAAGTGAAAGAACTGGGTCCTATACTTAAATTTGCTACTGTCTTGCTGAGCAATCTTCTTTATAAAAGGGGGAGGTTTTTTCCACCCTTACAAATAAGTTTCTGGCATGTTTCCGTAAGAGCTGTGAGAAGGCGGAGGAGACAGGATGCCTGGACCTGGATCTTGCCACTGTTGCTGTGAGGCCTGTGACCCCAGGAAAAGGAGTGTTAAAGCAGGGACCAGATGACTAAGAAGACCCCTGAGTCAAACGCAGGCCCATAAAAGAGCCACGCAGGTGGAAGGGTACTTTCTCTCTCTAGAGAAACCCAGAGAGCCTGGCAGAAGTGAGCTCCAGAAGCAGAGGCAGAGGGGTGCAAGGGAACTAGATTCTAGGATCCCATTTCCCTCTCCCAGGGGTGTTCTCCCTTGAATTCCCATTGTGTCTACTCAGCTGGCACTAGAAGTCCCCACCACACTATTTTTCTCTGGCCCAAATTTGGAACAAGAAAAAAAATTAATTGGAAAAAACAAATTTTCTCAGCCAATAATCACATGCCCAATGCATAGGCTTTCTGAGGTTGCAAGCCCTGCCTGAGGCCCCACCCAGAGAACCCCCACCTTTATAGATTAGAGGACTGTCCCTGATTCTGCCCCTTTCTTCCTTTCTTTATTTCCCCTGATTGTCTCCCAGTAGAGGGGCTGAGATTGAAGCAGGAGAATTGTGGGTGGTAAGAGGAGGTGACCACCCACCTCCTTGGGTGGCATGCTTCAAGGTACAGCTCAGAGCATGGTTTAAGTCAGCAGGAAGAGACCATGTGATCCCAGCACCGAGGAAAGGAGCGAGGCAGAGGTAGATACCCCCTGGGCCCCTTCAACCTCATTAATACTGAGAATGCAAAGTCCTTATGTTTGTATGACTTTTTAAAGCACTTTCACAGATAGTTTCTGCACACGATGAGTAGAAGAGCTATTGTTAAATATCACTAACCTTGTATAGTGGCCCTGGTGGCACAGTGGTTAAGCATTTGGCTGCTAACCAAAAAGTCAGCAGTTCAAATCCACCAGCCATTCCTTGAAAACCCTACGAGGCAGTTCTGCTCTGTCCTATACGGTCACTATGAGTCAGAATCGACTCGATGGCAATGGGTTTCTGGCTTTTAACCTCATATAAATTAAAACAAACAAACAAAGCCTCTGAGGCTTGGAGAGGTCGCACAGCTGGTATATAGGGGAGCCAGTCCTAAACCCTGGTTTTGGTGCTTCAAACCAGCTTTCCTTCTTTTCCACTATCCATTTCAATGTGAATAACACTGAAACCATTGCAGCTGGTCACCCACATTCAGTCCTTTGTCAACATCCATCTAAAGTTGACACTCTGCAGAAATTCATAGGGTCCCAAGGGATCTCTCTGTGCAGTGTGACTCTGGAAAAACCTCCAAAGACCACCAGTGATTCTGAGATAGCTGCCGTCTGTCCCTTGTGATCCTGCAGCTGACAACCGGAAAAAGCAGAGGGTCCCGCACCGGGAGAGGAAGCGGCAGGACTTCTCCTTGTTCAAGCTTTCCGACTCAGAGATGAGGGTGAAGATCTCGCCACAGCTCCTGCTGGCCACACACCGCTTTATGGCTACAGGTATGAACTCTGCCCACCTGAGTCTGCCAGAAGGCGGCTCTCAATTTGATTTCCAGTTCTTCTAGGACAGCGTCTCAACCCTGGGTGTCCATTTGAATCACTCGAGAAGTTTTTTAACAAGATAGATGTCCAGGCTCCACCCTAGAGCACTTAAAGTGGAATCACTAGGGTGGGACCCAGACACCAATCATTGTGAATACTTTGCAGCCTAACTCCAGTGTGCAGCCAGGACTGAGAACTGCTGTTCTAGGAGAGGAGGCTGCCTCAGGCAGAGCACAAGGGTGCCACACACTCCCTTCCTCCCAGGCCCGATCTTCTAGGGAGGAAGGGAGGACATCTCAACTCTGCTTCTCTCTCGTCTACTCAGGGGAAGAGCTAGGGAAGCCACTGTTGCCTTTTTCCCTTCCTCCACTCGCTTCCTGGCTGGAGCCTTAGGCTGACCCTTATCCCTTGAGAGTTGGGGTGTCCTGGAATATTTGTGGGGGAGGGACAGGTGTTGTCCTACCTAGCAACAAGGCCCTGGGATCTGTTGCCCACTAGGGGCCACATGTAAGCTACGAGCTCCTAAAATACAGAAGTGGTTTGTGTATCTTTAGAAAGAAAAAAAAAAAAAATGAGACGATCCAAAGATACATGTCTGAGGTAGTTTCGCTTTGAACCCCCTTACCTTCTCATTCATGCCTAACTAATGTGCTGGCCTAGATGATCATGCCCATCATTAAGTTCCATATGTAATATTCAATATTTAATATTAGCGTTCAGTATTTAATTAATCCATCATATATTTATTGAGTATATAATAAAAAGAAAAATTTAAATAGGAGCTTCTTTAAAGTAGGGTTTTCAACATGTTATCCAGTTCTGAACACCAATTTCCCAGAGCAAAGCAGCTGTATCTGCTAATATATAATATAATGTAATATAATATAGAATATATAGCACTATTAACATGTAATAATATCTATTAATATATAATAATATGTTAATATATACAACAATGCTTCACATTATTGACAACTTATCACTTAAATAATAACTGTCTCTGTTAACTTGGGATTTCATATCATTCAACAGACATATGTCATGTAAATAAGTCAGACTAAGTTCTCTGTAAATTTTATCTGATTATAGCATTGAACTCTTTATTGTTCACATAGCTTAGATCCACGCCCACTTTGAAATAAAATTAAAGAGAAAATTGATGACTAAGGTGACCTTTCCTAAGTGGTGACCTGTTTCTCCTGAGGCACCAGTGCAGGGACCACATCCCCTGCGCAGGGAAGGCCCTCAGAAGCACACTTGCATTTCAGATCCCCCCACCCTGAGGGGACCACAGAAGCCCTGCCAGCTTGGTGCCCCAGGAGCATGGACAGGAGTGGTTCTCCATACGTGCCCTGGTTGTGCCCGCTCTGGCTTCTCCCAGCTGCCATGCTGGAGTGGGCGGGACCTGTGCTGATTCCTCCTTGCCCCGACTCTCCCCTAGAAGTGGAGCCCTTTAAGTCTCTGTACCTTTCGGAGAAGATCCTCCTCCGGCTCCTGAAACATCCCAACGTGATCCAGGAGCTGAAGTTTGATGAGAAGAACAAGAAGGCCCCGGAACACTACCTCTACCAGCGCAACCGCCCCGTGGACTACTTCGTGCTGCTTCTACAGGTAGGAGGAGGACAGTCGGGGAAGATGAGGGCCGTTCCAGGCTGAGGAGGAATGGGGCTGTCCTCCACAGTGCTGGGCCCAGGATTTGGCTGGCTGAGTGAAAGACGGGCAGCATCTCCCAGTACCTGCATGAGCACACACGCTTTCTGCCCTAGGTGCTTGGATTGTTGTCTGTTGCTGTTGAGTTGAATCTGACTCATAGTGACCCCAGGTGTGCAGAGTAGAACAGCTCCATAGGGTTTTTAAAGCTGTGACCTTTGAGAAGCAGATCTCCAGGCCTGTCTTCTGAGGCACCTCTGGGTGGGTTCAGACTGTGAACCTTTTGGCTAGTAGTTGAGCGCTGAGCTGTTTGCGCCACCCAGGGACTCCTGGATAGACTGTCGTAAATAAGTGTCAGGCATGGTTCCAGCCCATGTCCTGGCTCCACCATCAGCTCTGTCACTCACTCCTTGCCTCTTCCCAACAGAATCTGAGGAACCCTAAATACACTGATTGTTTTAAAATCTTAGGTAAGCTCACATTAACTTACAAATGGCCTCTCTTTCTTGCAGTCCATCTCCATCCTGTCTGCTCTCTGACACTGTAGTTTGCCTTCTGTACATCCTGCCAAATAGCCTCAATAAAATGACCTCTCTTCTCCAAAAATGGAGTCACATTCTTCACTGTTGGACGTGGAAAAGGGTCCTGTTACATTGTTAACGATAATAATGAGCACATACAATATACTATCTTATGTTTAATATAAACTTAGGCATTTTCAAATAAAACTTGGAGGGAGTAAAATGAAGTGACAGTAATGTAGGTTCAAAATTGGAAGATCTGGCTTGAAAATTCCTGTTACCATTTCTTTACTAGCCTTGACCAAATTACCTAACCTCTTTGAGCCTCAATGTTGATTCATGTATAAACTGAGGATAAAAGCAGTACAGACCTCATGAGGCTCTGGGGCAAATTGAATAAGAATCCTTGCAGTGCACTTAGCACAGTATCAGGCCCACAGACACACCCTATGCACATTAGCTTCGTTATTACTGGTGATGAATTAAACAAGCTTCACAAAGAATTAGATTTTTCTTATCTAGACTGAGATGATCTAATCTTGGGCCCTGGGTTAGCTGGTACAGATCTGTATCACGGAAAGGCTTTTAGAGTATACAAAGAGTGCTTGATTATTTATGACTGGTTACTGCCTTATGAACTAAGCAATGAATGTACTGCAAAGAGCTATGAAAGTCGGAAGTGCTATTTCTGAAATGTAAACTTAGACAGAATTAACACTGTCCTGTGATAAAAACTTAAGTCCATTTGTTGTCCAGGCAGAAGTGATTAGAGTTCTAGTCATTAATAGAACTGGAAGTGCTTGTACACACCCTTAGTACACTTCCTTCTTTCTCCAGGGTAAAGTGGAGGTGGAGGTTGGTAAGGAGGGCCTTCGCTTCGAGAATGGAGCCTTCACCTACTACGGTGTCCCAGCCATTATGACCACTGCTTGCTCAGGTATTCACTTACAAGCCGTAGCTTATTGGGGAAGCAATGGGGTACTGTAGAAAAAGCATCTGGGTTCAGGTCTTGGCTCCTCTTTTAATTTGTTTAGACCTGGGACAAGCCATTTAACTTTCTGGGCTTTAGCTTCCTCCTCTGCAAAATGGATATAGAGTCACTTTTTATTCAGAGAGTTTGTGGAAGTACGTGGTAGAATGTATTAAGTGTTATGGACGGATAGTGGTATTTTTCAGGATGAACAGACAAGTTTATTTTGCTTTTTACATTTGTTTTCTACCCTTCCATCGCATTGCCTGGTTGTTATAAGGTTAATTGGTGCTGGGAATGGGGTGGAAGAGGGGGGATTCCTATAAGAAGACGTGTTTTCTGCGTTACCTCTAAAGCACACTGCGTCCCTCTGTCCTCAGATAATGACGTGCGGAAGGTTGGAAGTCTGGCGGGATCCTCTGTCTTTCGTATGTATCTCTCAAACCCCTTCCTCGCCCTCCCCATCGTAGTCCCGCCTCAGTCCACTCTGAGGACCTGGACCAAGCACTCTGAGCTAGGGCTGGGGCTACCACGAATGCTGGCAGCCTGTTTGTAATGCACTGCCAGGAACACTGCTTCCTGTCAGGTACGCAAAGGCCATGGTGGCTTAGTTCCTGTGTGTCTGGAATGTCTTCTGCTGCTTCTCTGCTTCCATGCAAATATGAATAGTGTGGGGTGGGGCCACCATTTATTGCCACCTGCCAGGGAATGCAGGCAGGTGAGTTGTGTGCTTTGGCAAGGTTCAGCCTTTCCTTCTCTGCTCTGATAATTCACCAACTGGCCTTTACTTGTGAAAACCATCATATGCTATTATTGTGTGTGGGGTTTTGTCCTCAGTAAGAAGTGACTGCAGGATCTTGGGATGTAAATCCCAGGCTTGTCCAATATGCTGCTTATCTGCTTCTCTTTCCTTGTTCACCACACTTCAGCTGGTGGGGAGGTGTCTGCCAGCTTGCTGTGCATGCTATGGTGGGCGCTGACACAGGGCTGATGGCTGGTTGGCTTTGTGCCTTCTGTGCTGTACCTTCTCCCTGCTTCCTGTGTAGAGTTCTTGCACTTGTGTTTAGGGGGCATGACATTTATTGTGCAGTAAGTGTGGGCCAGAAATAATTACTTCTGTAGATTTCTTGTTCATTCACTGGTATGAATTTTGCATTGCTTTCAGCTGTTAATGTTTGTGGTAGCTATTTTGATACTAAATGGGGTGTTTTCTTTCATCATAAAAAGATTTTACAGAGTGCTTTATATAGGCATTTATCAGAGGGTCCCCAAATTTTTTTTTTCTCAGTCTCTGGCATATGATAAGGTAGAGACCCTTTTAACACAAGGAAACTAAAGAAATGAGTTGCTCCAAATCAGCCAGCTAGTTGATTACCTAGATGCATCCCAGTGTCTTGACTAGTTCATACTGCACAATGAAATACAGATTTTAAATCCACCATATTCCAGAATGCAATTTCTATGTGAAAATATTGGGACAATTTGCTATGTAACTTCATATCTTAGCCCAGCAGAGTTGAAATGAAATTCAAATACCTGCCCACACCAGAAGAGTGGAAGAGCTTGAATTGAAGTAGATCTGTAAAATAAAAATCCCCAGTACAGTATTATAGTAATATAAGTCAACACATCTCAGTCAACGTTTGAGAAGGGTTTAGAGGAAGGAAGTGTCAGTACTCAGTATAAGAATTCTGGATGTGTAAAGGTCTGAATAAACCGGTTCTTTACGAGATTTCCACCCTCCGTCACATTCAGCATTTCTGAAGGATTTTCAGGGTTCCTGTGGAACGGAGGGGCTCCTCAAGGTAGAGTAACATCCAGGATTCTAATAGAAGTGTTGGCCTTGTTCTGCCTCTTCCAGAACACCAAAAGAGGTGGGAACTCCCCCACCCGCCAAATGTAGATGACCTTCTTTCTGTTAAAAAAAACATGGAGAAAGAATGTTATATGATTTCCTCCTTTCCTGTCTCTAGTTCTTTTTATCAAAATCTTTCTGTTTTATCAGTAGGACAGGAGTAAACCCACAACACTGATCGCTCCTTCAGAGCTGGTTAACCAGGAGGAAGCGTTAGACTCTCCCACCCCATGCTTCTGAGCATCTTTATAAATCTGCAGGAGGAAAGAGAAATCTGATTAGCCAGTACTGGTGAAGAGACATTTTTTATCCTCACCCTAAGCCCTTCCCACTGAGTAGAGAGAAGTGTGAAGTAGCTGTAAAGGCTGGCCATACCCCATGGTTACCCCACGTGGACGTTCAGTCGGGGGTGCAGTCATTCAGAGTTGTTTACGGGCCAAGAACCTCAAGCAGGACTTGTCTCAAAGTAGGACATGAGGTTACAAGCAAGTCGCTCTGGTTTTCCAGTGCAGGATGAAGGGAGCACACTCAGTACTGCCTCCTCCTTTATCTTGGTTCTGGTGGCCAGGTCTTCATGGTGAGCCTAGCACTCTGGAGGAAATTTGCCCAAGCTCAGCGTAGCTGGAGCAGATTTACACAGGGGTGGGCAGGCAGACAGACAACGAGTCTCCTATCTGTTTCTCAATGTGTACATTTAATTCTGCGGCCCAGGAAGAGCTCTGATTATTCTTAAGACTTTGAATTTTCTTACTGTAGTGTGTCTTGCAATGCTGGGGCCCTTTCAGATATTCTTTAACATTTCATGTCAGAAGAAATGATTTCAGGTAGAGATATAAAGCCCTCCTTCCCCCTGCCACCCCATCCCCTGTACATATGGGTAATTTCAAGATAAAACCATCCCGTTCAGCAAATAAAGACTGCAGAAGCTGCCTATTTTAGTGTGTTTCACCTGCAGGCTGGCTTCACTTAGCTCCTTGAATGGAGTTCAGGGAACAGTCAGATAAGAGAAATAAAGACAGATTCCCATCCAGAAAATTGACTTGATCAGGGTCAAGACGGGGAAAGAACTGGGCTGTGGCTACACACTCTACCCCACCCAAGCCCGACATGATAACCACCATCAGTTTGGACTCTGTGGAAAGAGAAGGAAGAGGGGATGGGAGGAGAGGTGCTTTGGAGCACTTGTACTTGCTAAGAAGTGACTAGAATTTAATTAATCAAGTTGATTCACATTACAGTTGCTAGAAATGATGCCCTTCCTTTGTCCCAAGCCTCTAGCGATGCATGGTTCCCACCAGCACTGGGACCACAGAGGATACTCCTAGGAGTCTGAGGCAGAATACAGCTGCCCTAAAGATACTTCTAGCAGGAACATGCACTTCGCTGTCAGGACTCTGAATGCCCATGTTGGTGCCCTCTCACAAGCGAGCAGGACGCATGTGGCAGCTGGGAGAGCCTGGTGACAACGTAGTGCTGAGCCACCAGTGTATTTGCAGGCTCATGACAGGCACTTCGGAGAGGAAGCTGCCTACACACGCTGCCCACTGGGCACTGCCTTTTCTTGTCATTGGCATCTCTGATTCCCTCTAAGATTATGGTGGGTCTTTTCAGAAGACCTTCAGCCAAGCCCAGTTTATTTTCCTGTCTTTCTGGAAAGTGACTTGTAAGAGGATGCCTTTCCTATGTTTTCAGAGGCAAAGCTCCTTTTTACAGAGAAATGGGATGTTGTGAAGATCCAGGAACAGACTATCTCACCTACTTTGCTCTTTATCTTTCTCCTTTTATGTTTATCTTCCCCTTTGCACTTCACAAACCCTTGGTCCCTGACTCTTTAGTGCCCGTCTCCGTGTCTCGCACCTTCGCCTTCAACAGAGGAGACTCTCTGGCAGGCTCCCCAGGTAATCACGCATGGGCAACTTGGGGCTCCGTAGAGCCAGTGGGGTTTGCAGGAGGCCTTTGGTTTGTGTCACTGTCCTGCATGAGGACAAGTCTCTCCCAGCAGACACGCCTGTGACTGAGGCACAGCACCTGTGCAAGTAACACACATTTGCATGCACAGCCCTGGCATTGCTGGTTCAGTGGTGTCATTTGTGAACCTAGCTCCCAGAAAGGTACCTGTGTATGTACGTGGAGAAGTTGTGGGGGTGCGGGGTGGGGTGAGTTCTTCCTCATAAGTTGTCTGACTGCAAAGTGGAGGGTTAATGGGCGCAGCAGGAGAAAAACAAGAACAGTGGAATGCTATGCTTTGTTCCTGCGAATTTTTCCTCCACTTTTCCTCTTATCTGGTCTCTGTGCTTAGCCAACCACTACCCATCCTCATCTTCCTGGTAATATTACTATGTAATTACCATTCTCCCTGGCTCTGCTCATACAAAGGATGCTATATATAAAAATTTCAAAGCAACTTTCCATTAGGTTTGATCTCTCTTGTTAATTGATAAAAGTTACCAGATTTCTCTTGCAGTCGGGTAAAGCAGCTCCTGAAACAGCTACACAGACAGAAACTCAATGACTGAGTAGAATGCAATAAATCTGAACAATCAGTTAATTATTTATATTGTTTTTGTCTATAGAAGTTGATCTTTGTCTCACAAGGCAAGTAATACCAAACTAGGAACTTAGTTTTTAAACTGTCCTGCAGTTAGAACACTGTCCAATTTCCTGCACCCTCTGCATCTCTATCCTTTATCCCAGTGCTGGGGTAATGATTCTGAGGCCCTGCCGTATCCTCAGTCATCAAGAATCCAGTTATACAGTAAAACCTGTGAAAGCCAGAACCTGTGTAAGGCAGAAACCTGTCAGAGAAGGAAAACTCAAATGTTTTCCACTAATAGAGAGCAATAGAAAAATGGTATGACTGTACCCTGACAAAGGCAGAAAACTTGTGAGACCCGGAAAAACAAGGCAGTTTCACTGAGTTTCGGCTCCCCCAAGTTTCTCTCTGTTTCCCTGTCTGTACAGTAGACCCTCAACACTCAAGAGGGCTCAAACCCCCAGATTTGCAACTTCAGAAGTATATATGCTGGCTTCTGTTTTCTCCCAAATCACATATTTCTCCATCAAAAACCATATGGTTCCCATGTTTATCTGTACAAGACAAGTAAACCACCATCTCAGATTCCACCAAAGTTTTCTCTCTCACTTGATGGTGGTTTTCCACCAAGAAATAAAGTTTTCCTCGCTTCTTGAGGGCTCATGCCTTCGTGATGGCTACACAACAGTAAAGTCAAAGTGAGATGCCAATCTGGTGCCCTCATCAGCTAAACAGTTTACTCCTGCATGCCAACAGAATTAGAAATGACCACACCATGGACCTTCAAGATCCTTCACACGTGGATGAATCTTGGTGGATTCCAAGAGTGCACTATGACAGTTCAGCAGAAAGGGAAGGTACACATTTTTAAAAGATTTTTCATTCAAAAGGATCAAAGCAGGGGCTGGTTTCTCTTTCTAATTAACCTTCAGTTAACCAGGCAACCTAATTAATTTTAACTTCCCAGTTAAAGACAGGCTAATTCTAGTTAATCAGTACTAATTGTGAAAACCTTCACAGCAACCCAGTATCAGACAGAGATTAAAGTGACTCATTCCTGCTATGCCATATCCCCAGCTGAGACTTCTGATCCAAATCTGGCTGGTGCCATGTGTCTCTGAATGCTCTTTTAACCTTCTCCCCATCTTCCATGGCTGTAGGTGTTCAACCCAACAGGAGATGGGTGAGTAATAATGAGGTAAGAGGAAGGCCAGCTTATCTCCGCTCTTGGCTTAACTCTGCAGGTGGAGGAATGAGAGGCACAGCAGCAAGGAATGAGAGGTGGGGAGCGCCATGCTCCTCCTAGCTTTTTTCTCCACCTTCTTTTGTCTGATCTATAGCCAACCACCAAGATTTTCCAGCAATCAGGTGATATCTCCAGGAGCAATGCCATGGTGTTACCACTATCACTCTTGCTTCCTTCTGCTCCATATCACAGGAAAAGAAGCTTCAGAGTCATGGGATTTTGTGGAAAGAAGTCCTAGGCATCTCTGATCCCACACTTGACTTAGGATCCAGATACACTAATTTACATATATATTTTGTCTTGGAAGGTCCCTGGGTGACACACACAGTTAATCACTCAACTACTAGCCAAAAGGTTAGAGGTTCAAACCCACCCAGAGGCACCTCAGAAGATAGGCCTGGTGGTCTGCTTCTGAAAGGTCACAACCTTGAAAACCCCATGGAGTAGTTTTATTCTGCACACATAGGGTTGCCATGAGTCAGAATTGACTGGACAGCAGCTAACAGCAATAACAACTTATATCTTACCTGCATCTTACACAGGGCAAAAAGATAAGTCCTAGAAATTAATAGGGCATTTAGGTTTAAAAAGAACTCTGTCATTGTTTTATTTGATCCCCACAACCACCTTACGAGATAGGTAAGAATTATTGTTGGGAAGCCATAGGTGAGAAAATAGACTCAGAAATTAAACCATAAGATCAGGGTTATATGTGTGGTAGATAGGTAAAAGGATGAGGGCTGGAGTTCAAGTCTCCTAGATCCTGCTTTCCTGTTGGTTGGGGATCATGCTGCCCCTCTGAATACAAGTATTTTGTGCCTCCTAGAGAGCTGTGATTTATTTGCATTTTGAAAGCAGCTGTTCTAATGAACATGGTGCTCACGCTGAATTGACGCCATCGATTCCTGCATCAACTATTGTCATCATTATCCGTAGCGAGTTTCTTTCTATTTCAGCCTTAGTTTGAAATAAGGAGAGCAGAGCGGCTTGTGGATTACCTGTAGAGTATGGTGTAATTTGCCAACTTTACAAGTACTTTCATTTAAATGAAATTTCTGATCAGCCCACTGAAAGTAAGTGGCCCGACTGCAGTTACCATCTCCTCTCCCAAGATTTATCCCTTCTTTCTTCCTCGATAGTGGACAGAAGTTTGAGTTCCCTGTGGACAGTCCACAGAAGCACAGAGGCAGGAGAGGCAACTGAACCAAGTGTTCTTCTTGAGTGCTAGATCGTCCATCTGTAATGGGCTTGGAGATCAGTGGTGATAGACTTTTCTCCCAGAATATACAGGGTCATCCTAAAATTATCTTTTTACTTTGTGAAATGTGTTAAGTGGAAATATTCCTTTGGGTTGGCTCTTGTGTAGAAAACATTTGGGAACCATTAAGGCTCCCTGAAATGTGAGTGAGTTCATCTGGGATCCTAACTTGGGCTGATTTGCAGAGTTCAGAGTATAGCTTGAATAGAGTTTTGACAGAGAGCTTTTGGCATTTGGTTGTCTGATGTTGAATATTACCCTGGAGTGATGAATTTTAATAATCCTAGTTTGTACTCTAACAAGCCTATGTAATTAAACTCTCCCATCCAGTTTGGAGAACACAGATGGTCCATGGCACAGTGACCGTGACCAAAGTGGGCCATTCCCCTCATCCCTCACTGATGCTCCAAAAGATGTATGTAGGTAGCCACTGAACTCCACTTTTCCCTCAAATCCCCATACTGAAAAAGGGAATGGCGCATTCTACTTCTGTGTCTTGGGTCCTGCTCTCGGGATACAGTGGTGAAGGATCCCTGGATACAGGTATCACGAGCAAAGCAGGAGTCCCCATAGCTGTGTGTAGGTTTTCAGGGCCCTTTCCTATTAGTGCAAAGTAAAAGGAGATGCCATCCAGCTCCAGTTGCAGTTTAAAGTCTACTTACACACACACACACACACACACACACACACACACACACACACACACCAGTTCTACCCCAGTGTCTTCTCTACCTCAACCTTAGTAACTCCAAGTTGTCAACTATGGAAGATTATCTCTTACAGACTGACCACACAATGCCTGCAAGAATGCGGTCTGCCACAGCTCTCTATAGCACTTGGTTTCTAGAACAGAAAACCCTGCTCCCACTCCCAGTCTCAGCAGAGCCAGTTTGAGGGTATGATGTAAGAACAAGAGTGGGTATGTTGGCTGCTTGGCTTAGCTCCTGTGGGCAGGTGCTGTGGTCAGTCATCACTGTTTTACCTGTATTCTGTTTAGACTTCCTTGCACCAAACTTATAATTTTCCCCCTCACTTCACTCCCCCAAGCTGTGCCTCTGTGCTCTTAAGAAATGCCAGGAGGAATTAGACAACTTGAACTAGTTTGCCATGCTGCTGGGACACTCGTCTGTTACTGATTTCTTCTCTTTTTTTTTTTTTTTTTTTTTTATTAAAAGCATTTCCATTTCCTTGCTCAGAAATCTCGGAGTGTATGTGCACAATTACCAAAATGCCGAGTCATCAGCATCCTACCTATTGAGGAATGTCAGACCCTGAAAACGAAAACATTGATCTTGCACAACACTCGGAGGAGCCAGGCCTTTGTCACAAAATGAGGGTTCCTTTTTCTCTTAATAATTGATCTTATAGGCCCGACCTTTGTAAAACAGTTGTATCTTTTGGTGCTGGGAATCCTTTGAAATTTTATGAGTAAACCTTCAAAAGTGTTGTTTTCACTTAAAAAAAAAAAAAAAGACGTTGTTCCTCCCAGCACAGCAGTGATGTAGCTTGTGTTTGACATGCAGTTCCCTGTGAGTGACATCAGTGGAGCATACCTGCCCTGAGTGCCAGTGAGGGAATAAAAGCTTGAGGGGAAATGGGAATGTTACCTCTTTTGTCAACAGGGAGTGGAAGTGATTTAAGCAGAAGCATCTGTGGATGGAAGGGGTTTTGTAGATAAGATAGGGCTCAGTTTCTCTGTCATCCTCCCTGAGTGTCTTTTAAATTACGACATACGCAGAGGAGGATATGGAGCAGCAGGGGTGGGGTGAAGCACAAGGCAGACCTGGCAAAGCAGAGGATTAACAAGGAGTGATGGTTATTTCCCAGGGTAACTGAACCCACAGGTCCTGCGTATACTCTCTGCCCTCAAATTGAGTTGAGGTCAAGACCCACCAAGGTCATGGTATGGTTTTCTAGACTCCACTCAGATGCCAAAGAAGCAGCTCTCCTACAGGACTAACTGCCTCCCTTTTCCACAACAACTAGCCCCAGAGGAAACACCACTGACTTACTTAGCCAGCCACCACCCTAGAACAGCCACAAATGGGTGTAGCCAAGCCAGAACTCATCCGTTTGTTTTCAAGGGCACAAGGGCCAGAAATGAACTTCACATTTTTCTGCCCAGTGGTACTGCCATTTACAGTCACCCTGGAGTTTGACTCAGTTCTCCATGGTACTATCACTGTCCCTCTTAATCCTTGGTCACTCTAGAGGAGGGTCTTGCCCTCCATTATCCAGTGGAGTAGGGCCCTAGAGACCTGACTCAAGGAGCCCCTGTTTCACACACTTATTAAACAGACAGACAAACAGGAAGTCCTCATATTTCTAGTGGCCTCTTCCTCAAGTTAGTGGCCAAGGTCCAAGGCTTCTTGGTGCCCTTTGATTCTAGGTGGCACATTATTATTTATCCACTCCCCACCTGAGAGCTGCTTGGAGAAATCAGCTTCCCCAAAATGACTTTAGGCCCCAGAAAAAGGGCTTTCTGACTCTAGGATGTTTTGTGAGCTCTAAAACTTCTTTTTAACCAAGATTTAGATTCTGAATAAAAACCCTTTAAGGGGCCCATAGATGCTGATTCATTCATTCTCTACTTTTTACTGAGCACCTACTCTAGGCCAGGCACTGTGCTAGGTACTGGCCGTATAATGGTGACCAGAAAAGACAAGGACTCTGCCCTTGTGGAATTTATAGTTGAATTGAGAAAACATAGCAAATAAGTACAAACCTGTAATCAATTAATACTTGTGAAAAGTGCTTTGAAGGAATGACTAGGGGGGGCAGGGACAGAGGAAAGCTGGGAAGCTTCTTAGGGTGGCCAGACAAGGACTTCAGAGAAGTGAGAACTAATGACTGAGAAGCAAGCAGCTGTGTGTAGGGGTGGGTGGGGGAACAGAGGAAATGGCATCTGCCGAGGTGGGGGAAGTTTGCATGATTGAGGATCCCCAAGGAGGCTGTGGGCTAGAGCAAAGCAAGGGAGGGAGGTTGAAGGGCCAATGTGAGATGAGACAGGAAGGTGGGGGCCAGGTCATGCAGGGCATTAGAGGCCACAGGAAGGAGTTTGGATTTTATTCAAATACAATAGGATTCTGGCAGCTGAGGTACGAACAGATTATAAGGGGCAAAAGTGGAGTGTGGAGACAGAGACAGAAGTGGATGCATTTATTATGTTGGAGGTGGAGATAGCAGGACTTGATGTGGGGCTGAGGGAACATCAGGAGTCAAGGGACTCCCAGGTTTCTGGCTGCAGTAACAGGGTGTATGTGAATGAGAGAAGAAGAAGACTGGAAGGGAAACCCTTAATTCTATAATCACATCGAGGCAGTGATTATTATTATGGTTCTAATGAGAAAATTATTCAGCCTATTGTTATTTTAATCTTTTGGCTGCATGGTCTGCGAGACAGCAATAACAGTTTTGCAGCTAAACAGATGGTCCACCCTCAGTGCCTCATTCCAAATAGATGCTGATCAAACGTTTTGATTGATGGCAGCATTATCTCAAGAGACAGAATTAAGTTTCCGAAGTTCTGCCCTGAAGAAGCCAAGACCAGAATCTATAAAGAATCTGATTCTTCATGTGAGTCCCCTGAACTAAGTCTGTATTATGACAAACAGACAGCTTCCTGTTCCTCTTTTGGGGAATGGGATCAGCTGAATGGGATCAGCTGGAAGGCAGAGGGACAGGAGACGCTCTGCAGTCCCTCACTTCAGGTTATTCTGTGGTTGAGATAATGCTCGGGTTACCTTCAGAACCCTCTCATCTGTTGATCCAGTTAACAGAGGTAGTCCAGTGTGAAACAAACGGCATGGTCTTGATTGAACTTTCCCAGGAAGTGTTTCTTTACATAAAATGGGACCTTGAAAATATAAAAACAACCTGACTCTGAACATTTAGGAGGCATTTGATAGGCCTGTAGGTTGTCCAGTTTCCCCCTTAGGCCTAAGCAAAAGGAAGCCCTGAGCTAGGCCCGCACTTTAGAGGCCCCCACTTTGGCCCCCCTCAGCCGTGCCCTTCTCCATGGGTCAGGAGTCCGCAGGGTCAAAGGGATGTGCTCAACCAGAGCCTGTGTCTTTCCTTCTAGACCACATTTCAGACACTCAGAATCCTGGAATTCCCCACATACACAGCTCTGGGGGTGGAGGGTGGGGGTCATAGGACCAGGGGCTGGCTCTCCACGCTGCCGTGTTTTCTGGACAAAACTTGAAGGAGACTGAGTTGAACCCTGGCTTTCCAGGTTGTTATGATGGTATATTTGTCAAGGACAAGACTAGAACATATTTTGTTTAACAGTTTATGAATGTGATTTATAACTTTTTTTTTTTAATTGTACTTCAGGTGAAGGCTTACAGAACAAATAGTTTCTCATGAAACAGTAGTACACATATTGTTTTATGACATTGGTTAACAACCCC